GGACTGTTGTGCATCCAGCGCTGGTTTTCCGTTTGTACTTACGTAGGCGTATTTTTTTTAATGGGTTTGGGTTATGGTCAGATGCTTTAGACCCGTAACACTGCGACCTACATAGATCTATTGTGCTCGCCCTTTTTCAGATTTCGCTGCCTAGACCCGTGAGAGAAAAATTGAAGGATATTCTTAGGAGCGATGGTTTTTATCTCCTCAGGATAGAGTGTAAATTTCCAAAGGAGATAATACACAGGCATGGCTAATAATAGTAATATCTCAGGATAATGAACACAGCACCATCTAGTCCCAAGATAAGCAGAGTTTATATTACGGGTTCTGAATATCTAATAGAAATACTTAAATACTTTTTTTTATATAAATACATACTTTATGCACAGAAAACACTCATACAAACAATCATACAAATGTATAAAAATATTCGCACCGTATGAGAAATCGAACCGCGACCATCAGAAGTAAACCCGTGTGCTAACCGCTAGACCACTGAGACGGTCAAATTGGAATAACAAACAAGCTGTGACCCACCTCGCAGTTAGTGGTGACCTTTATACATGAACAGCATTATGTACATTACGCTATCATGTTCCCTCCGATCGATACCCCGTCCAATACAAACGGGGATCGAAATTACGACGGCCTTAGACGAGGTTCGAACTCCTAGCGGTGCCCTCAGACTAAAGTCATATCCATAATGTTGGAGTTTACATTTAGGCAGCTTCTTAAGTCCTTCCGCGGCTTTGGAGTGCGAACTGCCCTTTTATCGTTCGGTGAAGTTGTAAAGGCCAACAGCATTGGAATAGATTTATAATAATAATAAATAATTATATTTTGTGTCGAGCAAAAAATAAAAAAAATCAATAAAAAAAAGTGGGTCGTGGACAGACACAAGACGATGACGATGCAAGGACGTAGACGTTACAGTAGACCTTTGGTAGTTGTATATAATATGTATATTACTTAGACTTATGACTAAAGTATATATACTATATATATACTCAAAATATATACGTACATACGCAACAGTTACCATTCACTATCAGATGGGATGTCAGCTTCTTTGCTATTCCAATTAAATAAAAAATATTTTATTCAGAAAAATATTGTACACTAATCTTTTATTACTACAACATTACCTATTTCTTCACAAAAGAATCCGACTTTATATACAACTCAAAAATTATCCTATTTTAACATATTGTGAGCGAAGAAATATATTGTGTGCTGGTATATACTCAACTCAAATCTTAAATTTATATTTATTCCCTACCGTCCAATTCAGTACACAGATTCAACTGAGAAGAACTGGAAATAAACATAACTTTCGTTTTAGTTGACTGACTACTACAATTTCCATTCTCTATGGTCTGTAATCTTCCTATTTGATCACTAAATTAACTGTTAAATACAATAATATTGTAATAACCTCGAGTTCACATGATGTAACCTAAATTTCGTTAAATTCAGATAGCGGAAACTGGGTCACAAGTAGCTGGCAAAATTATCTCACATTCACTTATAGATACTAACATAATAGCTAGCGATATTGACAATTAAATTTCATGCCTGTTGTTCGACGTTGACGACGTTGATGTTCGACGACATACATCGTAAATTGGAGAGAGAAGAAAAAGCAATAAATATGTATAGAACAATAAATATCATAAATATCTTTTATTCATGAATATATTTAAAAATATTTATATATACATGTTAAGTTTAATTTTATATATATTATTACATAATAATGTATATATATATATATTATTATATTATGTATATAATATATTATTATATATTATATACTTTATCTTCTTTTTGTTGTTTTTGTTTCTATTGTAAACGACTAAAAAGCACTGACTGAATTTTCGTAGCATTTGCTACGACACGTAGCACTACGAAAAAAGGGTAATGCGTAATTAAAATTCAATTACAAGTAGTTTAAATCTAGTTTTTGGTTTGTAACTTGAATTTCAGTCATTAAAGTGAAAAAGTTATAAAATTTCCATAGCGTATCAGTTCTACTAAAGAGTAGTAGGTAAATTTTTTACTTAACTTTAACTCTATCTTGTTTTGCAAAATACATTATAGCTATAAAAAAAATTGGGGTTGGTAGTAGTGGGGTGTATATATGACAATAAAAATAAAATGTAAAAAAATATGGTGGGCCACCCAGATTCTATTTTTTATATCATCTATACTATAATCATCTATCTTTTATACCCCTAATTACTTAGGGAAGAACTTATTCTCAAACCTAGCGAATATACAAATAAATTTTCACCAGTATTCAAGTACTATGACAAGTAACACATGACACGAAAAATTTTTGTATTACAAAAAAGAAAGATATAAAAAGATACTAGCCGCTTTCTTATTTTACTTTTTATAATATACTAGCAGACCCCGCCACGCATTGCTGTAGCTAATAATAGACAATTAATTTGCAATATAATAATATTGCGACTATAAATTGAGATGTAAGCTATCTTATATTCAATTTAGTTCAAATTGCACACAATTTGCAAATTAAATTTCCTATCGGTTCAGTAATTTATGAGTCCATCGCGGACAAACAACGTAACACGTAATTTTTATATTCTTACATAGTACAAAACAAAGTCGCAATCGCTGTCTGTCCGACCCTATGTATGCTTAAATCTTTAAAACCACGCAATTGATTAAAGCGGTTTTTTTAAATAGATAGAGAGATTCTAGAGGAGGAGTATATATATATATATATATATATATATATATATGTATACCAGATAGTACCAGTTAGATAAAAAAACAAGTTGCTCGGTCAGCGTGTTAATAGTAGGCTAATATTTTCCTTTTATGGGAGACCCATGCCTTCCATCGGGACGTTAATGGGTCCATATGGTATGTGAAGCGTAAGGCTTTATTGCGGTCCATATCGAATCGCCTTAAAAATTAACTACGCACAACTTAATTGTAACTTTATAAACTACAGTAATTTACCGTAATTTCGGCCTTAATTTGTTTGCCTTATCAGCTGAAAAGCTTAATAGTATAATAATAATATATAGCACCATCTAGATCCAAGTTAAACTAGCTAAAACTTGTGTTATGGGTGTTAGATAACTGACAAATGTTTGTGCCGTGCGAGGAATCGAACCCGCGACCATCAGAAGTTAGGCGGTGTGCTAAACCGCTAGACCACTGAGGCCGACATATTATTCTTTTCTTAATGAACAATTCTTTGTCTTTAAGGGAATCATTTAATGCATAACGAAACATGGCGTGTGTAATTATTTTATTTGCTTTGTTATTTACATTTATGTATTTATCGACTGTTGGAGGTCTTCTACAATTCCTTCCATATATGAATTACGAATTTCCATATCTATTCATTCATTCCAGAGTTTATTATAACTAGTGGTCGCCCAATGTTCGAAATTCAATCATATTTTTTTAAATTATAATTTGTATCATTATTAAGGTTCTATTGTCAAAAACTATACTTCTAAGTGTGGTGATTTTATTTTAATCTGTCTGTAGTGTTTTTTTTTTAATTTAATTATTTTTTATCCATGATTAATAAAAAATATTACAATTCTATACCATGCATTCTTTATATAAACTACAAAAAGTGTGCTATATTTTATACCGGGGGAGTATTCCGCGCAATTTTCGTGAAAATGGGGTACAAAGGTTTTGCTTCACGTATATATATATATATATATAACGTCGGCTCAAAAAATATAGTCTGTCGATTCATTGCTGTCTTACTAATTACAATTGTAATTAGCTTTAATTAATAGCTTTATTTATTTTCTTCGAAAGAAAGAAATCTGAAACCAATTCTCTGGTGTTCAATAATATTAGACTTCCATTAAAAAAGTTAATTATTATATACCAACAGCGATTAAAGGTGTAGTTAATTCTCTCTTTCTTTCTTCTTTCTTTCTAGTTAATACTCTGCTCTCTTTATTACACCTTACTTGAAATCGCGGCTAAAAAATAATTGTTGAAACAATTAAAACCTTCCTAAATATATCCGTAATTTACTGTAATAGTTGCTGATATTTTTTTTTAATAATATTAGCCTTAATTAAAAAAAAAATCATCATCTAACTAATGAATCTACCTTCTCTATCCATCCTACTAATATATTTCATAAAAAACATCATCAGTCCTAATATTATATAAATTACTGACAAATTCAATTAAATTACTTAAATGAAATACTTATTTCATCAAGGTGAATTTGTCACCAATTAACTGCAATGCTTTTTAATAACCGGTGAAATTGAGTGTAGCGGATATGTTATGTGAAAAAGGATCAAGGATCCAATTGCTAATAATTCTATAGTGGTTTTATTACAGTGACGGAAAACTCAGTACGACGCCGACGGTTGACTGAAGCTTCTAAGCATTATTTATGAGCACCATAAGAATATCTATACATTTTCTTCATATGTAAAACTAGGATTTGGCCGCGACTTCGTCCGTGTGGAATTTAACATATTTTCTCTAAAATTCAGGTGGACCGTAACTTTATTGTTATTCCAGTTACTTAAAAATATATATATAATATGGATTAAAAAAGTTACTGAGCAACAATACTTTGTTTCGATTAAATAGTTTTAATTTTTTTATTGCTTTTTGAACTATAGACAAAGAGTTCTGTAAATTTATGTTACAGTTTTATTTTCTAATCTAAATCAAAAGACGCATTTCGAACAATGTTCCTTTTTTCTTACAAAGCTTTGAACTACGTGTGAATTGAACGAAGCTATCAAAGCCTACTTGTTGATTACGTGCGCAACACGTAGCACTTTCCTTTGTTATAAAAAATCACCCGTTGTTTGTGTTGAATGAAAAATCAATTTCCTTAGCCTTATAGCAATTTTAAAGAAGTATTCGATTAATGAAAACATTGAAAATTCGAAGCCAATTCGGAATTTAATTTTCGTATAATTCATTTCATGTTTTAGCTCTTAAATTAAAAAAAAATGTCTTACCTTTAGTTGTAGTAATGGAAGGTACTCTACCGACTTTTTCACAAATTAGTATAAAATAAACATCAAATGAAAGAATATTGTAATTTATTAGACGACCGTGCCCGCGCGTGTGATCTGCTACGCGGCTAGAGGCAGACTGCTACAAGAACGGCTACTTTCGTAATTTTACCTGTTACTTTGTTACTATAGGGCGGGGGTTGTAGGGATGTCGATAACGGAACGGATTCATGGGAAAACGAGTATTAAAGTAACAGATATTTCCTACAATACACATAAACCAGAATGCTACGTGCAGATGTTATAAATGATTCAGCCACTGCATGACTGTTACTGGTTTCGTTTGTAATCTTTTTTTAGTACATTATAACTCTACCTTCGCAATATATTTTTATAGAATTCTTTTTCGTTATTTAATGTTTTATCGCATTATCGCCAGGTTAAAGGTAAAAAACGTACGATGTTAGAATAAATAATTATAGAGAGAAAGACGAACTTCTTAGCATTCCGTGTATTCACCGTGTGGGTGCCGGGTCCATCGTTTGCCACAAAGGGTAACTCCGAGCAGTTCCCGGGACTTGTGACCCCGGATCTAGGTTTAAGAACGGTGTAGAGTGTAGGTTTAAGAAGTCACTTTGCCCACGTACATCAACACTCACTTTTACAAACATTGATATGTTATTTAAAATGTTAAATTTCTTTTTAAAAATACATTTAAATGTTCGTACAATTAAAACCCAAATGTGTAAGTTAAATTATTGTCTTTTTATTACTTTTAGTACAGACAAATTATTTTTCAACAACAAAATCTGAAAGAAATCAAATAAGTTTTATGATATTAAATCATACTAATATGTTAAAACAGTTTTTATGATCGAATTTCTTGATGTTGTTGTTGAACTTTGCTAAAATAAATGTTTATAAGTGAATAATGTTTTAATAATATAATGTGTTTTTAATAATTATTAAAATGTAAAAAAGTATTTTATTTACTGTACTCCTTCTCTATCTACATTAGCTATTCCAAATTTCATATATCTGGCTACAAAGCTTTTGCTTCCTGTTTTACTTATACTAAGAATATGCCCAATAGCTTCTCTTATATAACGAGCTGCAGCTTGCTGTATAAATAACTGTATAAAAAGATCACTGATACCTGTTATTTTTGGGTCATTTTACTCAATATTTTTCTCTTCGTGTTACTTTTCTAGTTCCTAAAACTTGCAATGTTTATTAAGTGTTTATGAAATTCTTTTATTCTTTACACTAGTGCCAAAATAATAACAATAAATCCGCACTCGTATCATTCACTCACGCCATATGCTATTCCCTAGTCATATTTTCATTCCGTGCACGTCACGTTTTCCACCCTGTAATACAATTTCAGCATTTCCCGTCTCCCTTACACACATTGATGCTTTAACAATTATGAATAGGACAGAAAGAGACAGGCATAAGTTGTTAGTTAATGAGTCTATGCTCGCCATGGGAATACGTTGATGTTTTGGAGGGGATGGACAAGCATGGCATTTTACTTACGGCTTATGAGCTTACTTAATTAGTTATGTGCATGTTTGTTTGAATATTATTGTTTGATTAAGAAAATTAATTGTCGAATTTATTTCCATGTAAACAATATTTTATATGCAAATTAAACAGTAATAATATGTTACATTCTGAAAATAAAGAATTTTAATTTTAAAATTATTTTAAACTAGCCGTGCCCGCGGTTTCACATACCTGAAATTTATAGCCTATATGTTATTCTAATGTATAAGCTATATTATTGTAAAGTTTGCTTAAAATCCATTTAGTAATTTTTGTGTAATAGTGTAACAAATTTCCATACATTCCACAAAAACTTCTATGTTTATAATACTAGTATAGAATACGATACAGCCATAATTTTATCGCCAACACTAATGAAACGTGAAGCATTAAAACAAGGAATTTCTAATTTCGTTTTAAAGTAGAATGGTAAACAACCATACTGCCTATTTGGTACGAGTTAGGTGATAGTGGTAATCGTCCTTTATACATGAACAACATCAAGTGACTGTGGATCTCCTCTTGCGTTACCATTACATGAAACTAAGGTATCATGCCTTAGTAGCTTGTATTTTCAATATATCATATTTCATATCTTAATAATATTTTAAGAGAGGTGTTACATATGAATGTGGATGGTTATAAGGGCAGAGGAAGGCCGAAAAAGAGAAGGACGGACTGTGTGAAAGATGATATGGTAAGAAAGGAAGTAAATAACGCGATGGCTGCGAACAGGGATGAATGGAAGCGAAAAACATATTACGCCGACCCCAAATAAATGGGATAAGGAAGAAGCAGATGATGATGATATTTCATATCTTACTCTTCAACAGAAACAGCTTACAAGGCAAGCTGCTCGGCATCTGAAATGACCTAACCAAGCAGCTTGTTTTGTAAGATGTATTCATTATGATGACTTTGTAAATAATCTCTCTTCGGCTCTGTAATAATAAAATAGAGGTAACAATAACTCACCATACCTGGGAAGTTTAGCAGTTTAGCATACCGCGTTACTTCCGATGATTGTGGGTTTGATTCTTGCTACAATACACATATTCATGACTATGATTGTTTGTATGTTTTTCTATTTATATTATGTATATAGATACAAAAAAATTATGTATTCATGTCAGTTGTCTACATATAAACCTATTACACAAGCTTTGCTTAGATTGGATCTACATAGATGGAGAATTGTGATAATTGTCCAGAGATATTATTATTACGAAAAACATATTATTACGAAATGTTAAAGACTATTACAATGCGTAACGGAAAATATAAATTAGTTTTGGAATTAATGGAAGTTCATAGGCCAATCGCCTACAAGTTTTTATCTGCCATTCTAACAGATCTCATTGCGTTGTTTGATATTCTTACTTTTATCTGTTATGACATTTGCAGAAACTTTTGACTAACACTGGTTTTCTGCATCCCCCTAGGGGGGTGAAGGAGCCTCGGGACGAACCCCTTTGCCCCGGCATCAATTCCGGGGGCAACAAACCCCGGGTAACTGGATTCACAGCCGTTGGTGCTAATTCCTAAAACTAACTTATCTAAAATCTAAGCTTTATCATAGAATAATAACAAATATTTACATTAACTTCTCTTAACTTAATAGGTAGTACCATACTTGGCGACTGGTTTATTTTAGAATTTTTACAACTTTGCTTTAAAGTATTTCTAACATTATTTAGTATAGAATTAGACTTTGTAAAAATACGTCTGCGTAGTAGGTACTAATGATCTATTTGATGGCAAGCAGTAGTAGAACAATTAACACATGAATAGTCCTTATGTATGTATGAACATCACGTGATACATTATGTCATGTATACAAAATAAAATCAAATTTATTTTGCTGATGAATAGCACCATGAACATCACGTTATTATGTCAAATAAAATCAAATTTATTTTGCGATAAGCTGCCTATACGTACCATATTTTACGTGCGAAGAAAATTATTTACAAAATAAGACCTTAATATAAATTTGTTAAACAAAACACGACCTTATTGCATTAAGCAATCTCTTATATCTCTTACTCTTATATTCATTTATATAACTTCATTATACATTTACAGATGTTCAGATATTTATATAATACTGGCTGTGCCCACGGTTTCACCTGCGTTAAATTTCAACTCATAAATTTTAATAAAAAATATAGCCTATATGTTATTCTCATGCATAACCTATATTACTGTTTCATTAAAATCCGTGAAAGTATTGTATTGTATTGTATGTTGGACTCCATTCTCCGCAATTAGCCTCTCATTCGGGCCGTTGTGCGTGTAGAGCCAGACTACTAACGTAGCCAGCCAAGCTCCTCCCAAAAGCGCAGAAGACTCCTGGTGTCTTCACAGGCTTCACGGAGCGACCTCACCGTTCCGAGGATTTGTTTTCGTTGTTGGGCCACTGCCGTGCACTCCAGGATTACGTGAGCCGCCGTTTCTTCAGCTTCAAAACAGCCCCGACAAAGCTGTCTGTAGCATCAATTTTGTATAAGTGTTTGTTTAAGGAACAATGGCCCGTTATTGTCCTTATCATTATTTTGAGGTTATGTCTATCTAGATTAAGTAGACGTGTTGTTAACCGATGGTTCGTTTTTGGAATTGCCACTTTAGATTGTTTGCAATCAGTGGTTAGGTTCCATCTTTGGTTTTGTATTTCGGTGGATCTCTGGCGAATCCAGGTGCGAAGTTGCGAGAATGGTATTGGCATAAGCGGGAGGGGGCCTGCAACCACTATACCGGATCCTACTCTCGCTAGTTCGTCCGCGGCGTCATTGCCATATGATCCACTGTGCCCCTTTATCCACTGGATAATTAATCCGTGAAAGTGTAAGAGTAACAAACATCCATACTCACAAACTTTCGCGTTTATAATATCATTAAGAATAAGATAGTATAATAGTCACAGTTTTTCGCCATGACTTTACAACGCTTTCTATTTATATATAAAGTGTAGCTGGTAGAGAATATCATTTGTCATTACGTACTCTTCTCGCCTTTTGTACACTTTATTGTACAGAATAAGAAAAGTAATAAAAATCGGTTTTATACATAAGATATTGAGTTCTAAGTTATGCAAACTTGATGTACTGTTTGTAAATTACCATTGTAATCCAGGATTCCATATTGCCTGTTCTTCGTTCGTAATGGAAGCCGCTTAAGTGATACCATTTTGGGGTATTTTAACCCTGATTTAGGGTAAATTTTATTGAATAGGATAATAGTTATATTTCAATTATTTATTTTACATATAATAGTGTAACAGTAACGTTTAATTACAAATCTATAAATAAATTAAGTAAAAAAAATGACACAAAAAATGTGATTTCAAATAATTAATAAAATAATAGTTATTAATTATTTGAATCACATTATTTTACGTTTTTATTTTATAAGTTATTTTGTATTTACTTGTGTTAGTTGTATATACGACCTCTTCAGCGATTATGTATATATTATACTATATATATATATATATAGATTATGTAATACATAGTTTAGTGTCAAATACAGATTGACATAATTGTAAAAAAAGTATTAAGCAAGTACAGTTCTTCTGCAAACGGACATATTATTTCTTGATCATAACATATCATCTCAACCGTAAAACAACCTACCCACAACAACTTGATTAATTTAAACTCTTCATTAATCTGAATTTTCTCGGTATTGCCATTTAATTCCAAACTAAGCAATAGCTTTGCTGAGTTCTAGCATTAAATGTCATTCTATTAGTTGTTCATACTTATTACTTACTAGCTGAACACGCGACTTCGTCCGCATGGAATTTAAATTTATTTTTCAAAAATAAAGGTAGCCTATGTTACTCCTTATTACATCAGCTATCTGTCAATAAAAGTCCCGTCAAAATCGGACCGGTCATTTCAGAGATTAGCCGGAACAAACAGACAGACAGTCAAAATTGTAAAAATGTTATATTGGTGTATGTATTTACACCGTATTTACATTCATATGCAAGTACTAAAAAACGGTTATTTCAATATTACAAACAGACACTCCAATTTTATTTATATGTGTAGAATATTTCCATAAAATAATACAATATGTATAAGAAAATGTTATACAGCCAAGTATAATGTATATAACAAAATGTAGACATGGCAACACTGAGTTGGTTGCGTTTTGCTTTGTTCTCAAAATGAGATATCCCGCCAAAATTTGGGAGACAGAAAGCCTACTTAATACCTGTCATAATGTAAGTAGGGCGGGCAGACATTAACATCTATTTACAAACTCGAATGTCATTTGTTTGTTTTACTTTAATGGCTTTAACATGAATGTTTTGTGCTTGTTATTGTCGATGATCAATTTCCTTCCTCCTTCCTTCTCTCCTCTGTGCCCGCCTTGCAACTTCAATAAAATATAAATAATTAAAAAAAAAATATAGCTTATATGTTATTCTGATGCATAAGCCATATTACTGTAAAGTTTCATCAAAATTCGTTCTGTAGTTTTTGCTTGAAAGAGTAACAAATATCATTTCGCGTTTATAACATTATTAAGATTAAGATTTTTATACGATTTTCACTAAGTTTGAGAATCAGCTACTGTCTATTTTTCATATCCCTAAGTGATAAGGTTTGTTGTTGTTAATTTATCAGCTGTGCGTATTCATTTTTTTTTATTATTTAGGTAATTGGGTTCTTGAATGTTGAACTCTATTTTCCGCATATATTGCTCTGTCATTTGGACAGTAGTGCAGATTACCGATAGATTTACAGATTCTATATATTATCAGGTATATAGAACCTGTAAATCTATATATATGTATATAACTCAAAGATGACAGATATAGTTATCTATCAACGCAAAGTCCAAACCACTGAAGGGATCGGACTGAAATTTGGCATGCTGGCAGATGTTATGACGTAGGCATCCGCTAAGAATGGATTTTGATTAATTCTATCCCCAAGGGAAAATATATTGAAACTTTGTCAATTTTAAATCGATAGATGCGCATAGCTAATGATGTAGGCATTAAACAGGATTTTGATAAGGTATAAATAGAACCGGGCAAAAATGGTATATAAAATAGTTCAAAGAAAGTCAATTAACTGCCAATATCAGATTTTTTTTTGTTAAACTTTATTCACAACTGCATTTATTAGTTACTAGCTGCGTCAGCGACTTCGTCCGCGTAAAATGACGATACTTCCATATAATCTTTCATCTCCCCTTTCAATCCCTTGCAACCCTTTTTTTGCATTATTATGTCCTTTGTCAGGGTCTAGACTATTTGTGTACCAAATTTCATTTAAATGGGTTCAGTGGTTTCGGCGTGAAAGCGAGACAGACAGACAGACAGAGTTACTTTCGCATTTATAATAATAAGTAAGGATTTACTTAATTTGATACGTATAAACGTATTTAACGACTTTTTTTATATTGAATTAAATATATGACATATTGTACAATATTTAACCTCGTGTATGTTAAGTATCGTAGTATATGTTAGGTATATATTTAGGTAATTCATATTTGTTTTAATATGCAGTATGTTTTATCTTATTATTCAATATATGCTTTTAAACAAATTGTTTGTTAATTAATTTAAATAAGACCTAATCTAGATTATTATATATGAGAACTAAAGAAAAATTGAAATCATAGGTTAACATAGTATAAAACAAAGTTTCTGTCGCTATCTGTCCGTCCCTACGTATGTTTAAATCTTTAAAACTACGCAACGCATTTTGAAGAGGTTTTTTTAATAGATAAAGTGATTCAAAAGGAAGGTTACAAGTACACCCGAGCGAAACCGGGGCGAGTAGCTAGTACGAGAATATTATGTATAGAGTAAGAAATATTATTAATTATTTATGAATTGATTAATAAGTACATTCATTGATTTTATTTGTTGTAGAACTATGAGTTATTTTCGGAGAAGAATTAAGTTAACTGAGAAATATAACGACGACCTCGACGGTCTAGCGGTCTAGCACGCCGCTTTATGTACGATGATCGCGGTTTCGATTCCTCGCACGGCACAAACATTTCAATTCATGAGTATGATCGTTTGGATCGGTCTGGGTGTTTTCTATGTATATTATGTACGTCTATGTATTTTTATTAGTTATCTAGTACCCATAACACAAGCTTTAGCTGGCTTAACTTGGGTCTAGATGGCGCTGTGTGAATTTTCCTGAGACTATTATTAGATAATTTATTATTACTACACCTATTCTATATGTGTATTATATTGTTCTAATATAAATGAAGGAAGACACAAAATATTCTCTTTCCTTAGATAATAAGGTAAGAAAATATTTTTTTACTGTTTTCACATTGCCCGTTTAACAATCGTAAATAAAAAACGACGCATAATTAAAAATCTTACTTTATTAAAAGATGAAGCTCCGACCAAGCATATTATTTGTAATATCGTTCATATCCCATACAAATTTCAATCATACTGCACTCAGAAGTAAGTCCATTTTACAATTCCGTGTGTGTAGAAGGGAATTTCTTTAGTACAGCATGATACAGATTATAGAAAGCATACACAGATACACTTAAAATAACTATCAAAGATCCACCGAAGACAAAACTTAAGAAGTTGCCATCGATCATGGTGGTGCCTTGGAGACTTCTGGCCTGACCCTGGAACAGGTCCTTGGTGCCTGATCCTGCCGCTTTCCTTTCTTCCATCATACGCTTCATTGAGGAAAGACGTTCTTTTAACTCGTCAATCGACTCCAACATGTCTTCTGATGCTGGAATATGAAGGCGTGTTTCATATAGAAGTTATTATAATGTTGATTATTAGATGTATAATGATAAGTTTTATGGCCTCGGTGGTCTAGGGGTTTTAGCACACCGGCTTATATCCGATGGTCGCGGGTTCGATTCATCGCACCGTACAAACATTTGTATTCATGATTGTTTGTATCGGTCTTGCTGTTTTCTATTTATAATATATATGTATTTACGAAAAAAAATCTATGTATACCTATCAGTTATTTAGTACCCATAACACAAGCTTTAGGTAATTTAACTTGGGACTAGATGGCGCTGTGTGAATCGTACTGAGATTATTATATTACTATTATATTATTATTTAAAAAAAATACATCTATGTATGTACCTATATCAGTTATCTAGTGTCCATAACACAAGCTCTACTTAGCGTGTGGCTAGATGACGCTGAGTGAATTGTCGTGAGTATTATTATTGATATATGTTCTAAAAAGACTATACTTTTATCATAAATCTTAACATATCACTATAAAATTGGTAAAAAGTTCTACTTCTATTAATCTGTTTACAGTGAATAAATAAAAAAAATTAATTATTGTTTTATTATTTTAGCTATTATATTCAATCATATAAGTGATCTAGATCTTACTTAGACTTATACTGGTTTCTATAGACGTAATAGCAATTTCATTATTAATCAATGAATGAATAGGAATATTATATACACGTACGAATTTTATATATTTATCGTTATAAAATTCATAAGAAATAATTCAAAATCTTTTCTATAATTGGTCAAATTGAAAACATCACCTTTGATGAGGATACAAAATATTATTAAAAATTGGAAATGCAATTACCTAGTTTATTTATCTGTGTTCTGACTATTCATTCATCAGGTTAATAATTACTAACAAGGGTGGACAGACCAAGGTTTCCATCAATACTACTGACTGTTGAAATTATTAATCCTAAACACATTGACTTACCTTCAGACTCTCGCTCTGGACTCATTTTATTGATAAAACTTGACAACTAGCACTTAAAACACACGGATACTTGTTCCAGTCTTTTGTTTTCAAAATTCACAACATATAAATGAGTATTTTGGTTAAAGAAAGATGTCGGACAACGCATGCGTAGTACAAAACCGGGATGAAAGGGAACTATTGATCGGAAACCTGGGAATGGGTATTCACCTATGTGTAATGGGTCTAGATTCAGAAAAACTAGCTATACTATATCTGTAACATACATACATGACATAGTACAGAAAATATATGAACAGTATATTAAAGGCAACCTTAGAGAAACGGATTTAAATATCGAACAGTTGTAGTATATGTAGTGTAAGTAAACATATATTAATAATTATATTATGTAATAAAGTGTATTAAAAGTTTATTCGAACTCTGGACATTTGTCCTCCTAATATCCATGTAGTGCGTTGAGTACTAAATATCCGCGCTTCATTTATAGAAATGATCAAGATGTAATTTATATATTATATCCCGGGTCAATGTACCATCTAGTCCCTGGCTAAACAGAGCTTCTATTATATGTACTAGAAAACATACAATACTTTTTTTTTAATTGTATACATATATAACATATTGTAGATAGAAAACGTCCAGACCAATACAAACGATCACATACAAATGTTTACAAATTGAAATTTTATTTTATTAAAAATTTGAATACAAATGTCGGTAATAAGCTAGGAATCGAACCTACGTTATCTAAAGGATAACGCAAGAGATTTCTATTTTTCAATTCCTATAGATTTATTTTCTTACTTTTGAATAAAAATTTTTTATTCAAAACTAAGTAAATAAATCTTTAATAAAAAAAGATGAAAGCAAGATTGCAACAGTAAATAACAACAAAACACAAAGAGGAAATCAGACAATAAGAGGATATATTAGAGAATATTTTTATACTGAAAAACTAATACTAATTTGAATTCGAGAAATATGGTGAAAAAATAACTGTCACGGTCGCCAAGATGGATTGGGAGGACTAATTATTTGTCTAGAGTTCGAATTTAGACTGTATCTTTATTACATAAGATTATTATTACAATACATATGTTTACTTATATTACATATCGCAGATGCCAGCAACTCCCATCAAAATCTAATTCTAAATCCTATATAATCCAGGGTAAATTATGAGCAAAAGCTCAGTGAAAATGAACAGATATGTATAGCGATAACACCTGACATTCTTGATTTTCAAAATACACAATATATAGTAGGTCTAACACACTGAAATGCTGAAACTCAATAAAAAACTTGATCCCTATAAAAATTATTTTTTATAAGGATCTGTAAGTTTATAAGGATCCCTATTCAGAATACTTTCTTAGTATAAGAAGGTTGTAACACCGGCTTTCTTACTGGTGCATAGGGCGCTTGATACTACTGGCCACCAATAAAAACATGAGGCTACATAAATTTCAAATTTAGAAGAAAAAAGCAATTGAAATTAAGAACTGGAAGGAAAAGGACGCCCCATAGTTTTAACTATTTTACGACAAGAAATTTATTAAAATTATCGATTTAATATTATTGTTTTTAACTACAAAAGGTGAGTAAGTTTGATGTTACATTGCTTACTTTGGAGTTTTCGGAGTATGGAAGACGTTCTTCCTAGGCAAAATCGTAGTTACTTTCTCCTTAATTATTTTCGTTTCAAAAATTCAGTCCACTGTATATTTTTATTTGTACGGATTCGTAATCTAAACAGACTGCACTTGGGGTCCCATTATATTCTGAATGATTCGTGAAGCTCATATGCATATGTAGGTATCAATTTAGCCCCACTCGTTAGACCAAAATAACATTTTTAATAGACTAATGTCAATTAATAAAATTGCATTTGTTTAAAAAACTTTGACAATGATTATGCAAATATACAAATCACAGTCATGGTTTTAGCAATTGTAGTTATTAGTTAAATATTTAACTGAATGAATATATTTTTTTGATAAACCTGGCCGCCAACCGCTTTCATACTACTATTATACTAGGCGTACAGAACTAAATAATAGGTGATAATCAAATTTTAGAAACTAAAGACTAAAATAACTTTTATAAAACGCATATTACCAAATAGAAAACTGACTTTCATTAGCTCCAATAAGTTTTTGGTTTTCTAATAATTTTTCTGATAAGATCTACCTCATTGCAATTGGAATTTCATCATTTAATTAAGAGAAAAAACTTTATTATAAGCTGATTGATTTCGGTTATGTGACATATAAGATATGTCTACAGAATAGTGCCAATTTCATTAGTGAATTAGGAGTTTTCATTAAGTATTAATTATGGTGTAATCTGGATTCTTTTTATGTACGAGCACAGATTATTATGATACTGCTTGTGCCCTCTATCTTTATAACGAGAATTTATATAACAGTCTAGAATAACCCCCTTGCTTTTCATGTTTTGTCTTAGTCATTTCTAAATTTATAACTAGATGGCGCTGTTCTGAAATACCAAATAAACAGCGGAATTTGTGGATTTTCAAGAAAATATCATTGAATATTACAGAAATAAATCATATTATTAAAATAATTATTAGACAAGATGGCTATAGATGGAAATCATCCACTGCTACTAGCTTTTATAGTAGCTTTTTATCGATGAATGAAATAAATTAAGGTAAGTCAAATGAATGGAATACTCAACCTTTCGAGTTTATTCATTATACACAAATTCAAACGTTTCCTATATATAATAATATAATAAAACTAAACATAATATAACAATTAAATGAAATTTAAGTGTTTCTGTCTAATTTCATATTAACAGATTTTCTCTAAATGTAATATGTACGGTAATTACATAATTATATTAATTTAAAAAAAAGATTGTCTGTTTGTTCTTCCTGATGTCTGTAATAGCAGGACAGATTTTGACGCGACTTTCACTCACAGATAGGTTATGTTATAGGAAGTAACTTTAGCTACTTTCATTTTAGAATATTAATTTTTTTATAAAAAAAATAGTTAAATTCCATGCGGACAAAGTAGCGGGTAACAGCCAGTTCAGTTAATAAATGAATTATATACTACATGATGAATTCTGCCTGAAGGGTAAAGTAGGTAATAAGATAAAAAAATACTGCATTAAAAATACTTAACACATTTAATTCTTATCCTAAAATCAAACAGCAGTTGATATAACCCAGTTAGTATACGAGGCTACATTTGTACTAACTCCGGGGAAGAAAGCATCCGCACAGCCTTGACCCCAAGACACAATACCCACGAGTATGTTTTGGAAGTATAGGGGACCTCCAGAGTCACCCTGGCATGCATCACGACCACCAACATCCAGAACACCAGCGCAGATCATATTCTCCGTCACTGATCGACGGGGAAACAATGTTTGATACCTCTGATGACAGAGCTGACGGTTAATGGAGTAGATTTCCACATCCTGAAGTACTGGAGAAGCAAATCCTCCTTGCTGTAGAAAAGGAATTAATAATTAAATTATTTCAGTCCTCAGAAGCTTTTATATTTAGTTTTTTTTTTTGCTCGGACTACTCTAAATTTGTTGACCGCAGCTGGCCTTTACAGCTTCACCGAACGATAGGGGGAGAGTGCTGATGGCACTCTACGGAAGGACATATGGAGCGGCTGAAGGCTAACTCCTGCCTGACAGATACATCGTTTACTTTTTAGTATACATGCTCCCAGCCCCCAAGATACTAGAAATAAAATTCTAATGCAGTAAATAATCTATATATAAGTATATGACGCAAAAACTTTGTACCCCATTTTACAAAAGTTACTCAGACAGAATAGTATATATATGAAATTGTATATATACAATTTCACACACTTATAGTTTATATAGAGGATAGTTTATGTAAAATGTTAAAAATTTTTTTAATTATGCATAATAAATACATATCAATAAAAAAAATATTTACACTACCATATATTCAACACACATATATACTCTTTTGTTTACTTATAGAACCTTTGTACCTTGTAGAACCTTTATAATATTAATTCTTATAATTTAAATTATTATCGAATTTCGACCACTGGGCGGCCACTAGTTAATGTAATTCTATAAGTAATTTAATTCATGTATAAATAAATAAATACTTACTGAAGTGGCGCCCCAACCAGCGTGTACCACAGCCAAATTATCGGGAAGCACGAAGTCCTGGACGACGATAGGAATTGGTTGAATTGTGTTACTAAAGGTCAATCTATCGGACAATCGGACCACGCTGATGTCGCCATCTAAAGTCAGGGCACTGTAGGAGGGATGGTTGATAGCTTCTTCTACGTAGACTATAATGCCACCAGAATTCCGGTCGGTTGTGCCAGCCCTAATACGGCGGTTGTTTACGTTGAATAATCTGACAAAATGAAAATTAATAATAGTAATGAAGTGATTGTTTGAACACGTTGAACATTGAAACAAGAAAATGGATTTAAATTAGCTTTTCATGTAGGCGGTAATATTAAAAAAATGGTAGCATCACTAATACGATGTAAATAATTTACGGAGGTGGAGAAATGGATGGAGAAGTAAATCTTAAATTCCCACAAAACTACAAGACCTATGAAAAAAGTTTAATGGCATATTTGTAACCTTAAAAAATTATGTATAATATTCATATAACCAAATTTTTTCTTGTTTTAAAAAAAAATTTAGAAACAAAATTCGAAGAATTCTAAATCTTTTGTATGTTCCAAACACACTACCTATCTGCAGTGCTCTAGCTGTATGGTATTTTGGGTTATAGAGTGAGGTAATGCAGTTAAAATTACGGGATAAGAAGCATGGCATCTAAAGTATCCGCAATGACAACGCATAATGAGGATCACCGGTGTCATATGGTAAGGCGAAGGGCGTTGTGATGCTCCTGTATATAGGCAACTGTCACCACTTACAAAAAGTGCCTCGTCAGTTATTTCTCATTCCATAAAAAAATTATATTCATATTCCTCCGAAGCAATGTGCAGCAGACAGAACGTAGAGTGAATTCAGCACATTAGCAGCACATGGCTCGTCAGTTATTTCTCATTCCATAAAAAAATTATACTCACATTCCTCCGAAGCAATGTGCAGCAGACAGAACGTAGAGTGAATTCAGCACATTAGCAGCACATGATTGTGACCAGATGAATAGTGTACTGAATTCGACCTGAACTATTCCTGGATACTCCTCAATGGTCGTGGGGTTACCTCCTACGATTCTATTCGGACTTGATGCTGCGGACACTGCTCCTAAAAATATAGCATCACCATCAGCATAAAGATCATTACTGTTATCATCATCCATTATCATCAGTTGAGTTTTTTTTGCCAGTTGTTCTCAATTGAATCTGTATACTAAACTGGACGGTAGGGCAAAATATGAAAACAAAAATTTTTGATATTCATTAGCTGCTAAAATGTCCTACATGATTAAATAATTTTTGATTTTATTTTCATCATAAACTAAATTAATATTTTAAAAAATTATAGACTTATACAATACATTGTAAATATATAATACTAAATTGGCATTGAAAGAAATGTTTTTAACACTTTCTTCTAAACAAGGAGCTGCCTCCAGAATTGTATTGTCTAGGAGCCTAGATTTAGTTATTCCGGTGAATAGTAGGTATAGTTTAGTAATTACTATTTCCCTTTAAGCATCATTAGTTTAGATTTTAGACTTATAGATAAACTCACAAAATAGTACGTACCTACCAACAGCACAACGCCCAAGGCCAGTTTTCCTATCATATTGATCAAATACGTGTTATTTAGAAGGAGAATAATGAAACTGTAAAATTGTATTGACTTTATAACTTCATTTTATCAATCACATTATCTAGTTTTATTGTATATAATTACTATTAATATCCTATTTCAACAGTCACAAATCATTGATAATTTTACTAAATCCTTTACTCAATTACTCATTCATATTGGCTGACGTTACTATTAGTACATATTGTTAGATAGGGTATATTAATGACGCATATTACTACAATAAAATTATATATATAATATAATCGTAAACGACGAGCATATAACTGCATTGTCTGGATGTCTGTACAATAAATATTTTTTAATAAACCAAATTTTGCATTTTCAACTTGAGCTAGACTGCAAAAAGTCGTCTGCGTGGATTTACGATATAAGGGGCGCCTTTTTAATGAATAGATTTTGACATAGTTAGGAAGCATAGTGTCAACTATTTGGTGACTAGACTACGACTTCAAACAGTCAGCACTAGGCTTTCAAATAATATCCAAACTCTATTCATTGCCTGATGATGCCTCGTTTAGATGCGAAACACGTTTCGCAATATGGATCCAATAACGGGCGCAATTTGATCACTAATGGGGAAGGTCGCGGTCAGGTTTCCGCACTGAACATTTGTGTCTCACACATGCTAATGGTAGTGAAATTAAACAAAATAATACAAATCCATTAAGCAATGAAATGGACTTCCCCAACAGTACGCCTAATTCCAAAATAATACCTAATTTAATAATATATATGTATTAAAATAATAAGAAGTAAGTTATTAAGTAATAAGGGGTGAATGTATTTGCAGACGAAGTCGCAGATTATAGCTAATATGGTATAATAATAATCTTTATCAATGTAACCTAGTTTATAAGTAATAATAGTAACAAAGATACGTCTGACATCCGTTTGCACCAAACTTATATACCTCCGAAATTGGTGCCTTACCTCATTCATACTAATCCATTCATACGTAACATTATAAATTCGGAAGGATGTCTTTCTGTATATTTGTTACATTTTCACGATTAAACGACTGAAAGTAAATGAATGAATTAGATTATAACACAAGGACGGATATAGGCTTCTTCATTCACGATGGCCTCGATGATCTAACGGTTCAGCACACCGCCAGACTTCCATAGGTCATGGGCTCGATTCCTCAAACATTGCAAACATTTTTATTCATAAGTAAGATTCTTTGTATTAAGGATTGAATACAAATTATTTATTTAATGTATTTATATTGTTTTGTTTAATTCCGCTACTATTAATATGTATGAGACTACAGATATTCAGTGTGGAAACCTGACCTATTGTTGACTTTTAGACCAGTCTATGTCGATTTTTTGACTTCTTTGTAAGCCCTCTTATACATATATAGTTGTTATACGTATTACTCATAAATATACACATCTTTACAATTGTTTTTTTTTTAATAAATAGTTGTGAAGTTCCTTTTTAGTCACATTGGTTATTTGTCATAACCTCTATTTCACTTACTTCAATCACTAATATGCTTGCTTTATAAACTGTATATGGATCTAAGGGTCTTATCGTAAAATTCAAGGGTACGAAGACATGACGACTGATATGAAGAATTAGTCTTCCAGAATGAAATGCATGAGGGTTTCTACGGACGTCATGTGATGACGTCATGTACTTTTTGCTATTCAATATAGGAGTAACGGTGCCACTTGGGGAGAAGGGGACTGTTAGTAATGTGGATTAATGAAACCCGTTCCAAGCAATGTAGCCTGTTAGGTTGACCTCCACGCGGTTTGCCCTGGAAACCATCATGTTAACTTCCTGGTGAATTTCTCTCACCCTATTATCCTCCACTGGTGCCCCACCAGCCTATACCGTTAAATCATCTAAAATCTGTTACATTTCTTAAATATAGTTAAATGCAATGATAGCTGGCTTATTCATCTTACTTCTGAATGGACGCTGCTTGTAGAGACTGGTCTGTTCTCATAAATACAACTGATTTATTTCGCAACTGAATTAATTATATATATGGTATAATATTTTGACTCTTATGAATTAATAACGCTTGGTAGTTTTTACTTTATCTATTTAAAAGAGCAAAACTTCTTTGTTAATTGTTAAGATAATTTTTGTAAATGTACAACACACAAATTTATATTTTTATTGGCTTGTAAAACTTCTTACATATTAAAATATAGTTGTACATATACCTAAATATCGAAGGTAATCGAACCCGCGATTGACCTGTTGGCCACCCCTGGTCTATTGTATACGTATATTTAGTATGTATTTACGAAGAAATATGTAATTAAGTAAGTCCATTCCGGTTGGTTTACTACTCGTAGTAAATGCTCTACTTAGTTTTGACTACGAGTAGATGGCGTTATGTGAATCGTAAATTGTCCAGTGTTATTACTATTATTACGGTACTATTTTTTTTATGGAGGGCTTTGGGCAATTGTCACATGCTAAGACCTGTAGCGCTGCGACCTGCCTAGATCGTCGATTGTGCTCGCCCTTTTTCAAAGTTAGCTACATAGACCCGTCAATGACAAGTATTGAAGGATATTCCTAAGATGGATTTTATCTCCTCAAGATTTAGTGTATGTAAACTTTACAAAGGAAATATTATGTTCATACATGAGTGCAAAGGATATGTACGTTTCCTCTTCAACTTGACAAAATCTGCAGGTTGTTTACTATACTATATATCTGCGTACATGAGATGAATTATGAAATGACTGTAAATATATCACAGAACGCTATCTAGTCTCGAACCAAACAGTGTTTGTACTACATATACAACTGATAAACATAATTAAATACTTTTGTTTGTAAATACATACGAGTACCTAATATCAGGCATATTAGGTACTCTTATATATTTACATGAAACATAGATAGTATAAAAAGTATACTTTTATAAATTTAATATGTTTGTATTTTTTTAATGAATGAGAATGGCATGATGCTCCCGCCTGCGCTGACGGTTTACGCTGGCGGGGCACCAGTGGAGGATAATAAGATGTACATGAGGTCAGTTTAGCCCATCGTGGTAAATTCACTAGGAATTTATCAGAATGGTTTCCAGAAGGAACTGCGTAACCTAACCTAACATGGTATATTGCTAGCAATGGGGTTATCAGTCCATATTACTAACAATCTCCTTCTCCCCTTATATTTTTGTATTTTTTTTATGGATGATAGTGGAATGGTGCACCCGCCTGCGCTAACGGTTTACGCTGGCAGAGCACCAGTGGAGGATGACAACATGAATATAGGTCAGGTCAATTAGCCCATCGTGTTAAATTCTCTAGGAATTTATCACGATGCTTTCCAGAAGGAACTGCTTGGAGGTCGACCTAACATTGTACATTGCTAGCAATGGGATTGTCCACATTACTAATAATTCCTTCCCCCCATATATATTTGTGTTATGTATGTTGGTACACCTGTGTGGCTGCGCCCACCATCTTGTTGTCGTATATTAAACCAGTGCGATACTTGTCTCCACTACGCGTATCTAACAATTTGTATTATTTGGGAATCAATCAGAAGATGAAGCGGTGATTATCGAAACCACAGATAACATAATATTACATCATCAAAACCAAATAAAGAAATAGTTTTGTTTAATGATAAGATACTCCATACTAAATCCACAGGGACAATTAATAAGTTTTAAATCTGTCATCAAAATCACCTGACTTTAACATAATAAAACATTTAATAAGTGCATTAAAACAACACAAATATATTTTTCTTTATTTGCCTAACTGTTATTTGATTAATGACATACGTTAAAAAATGATACTTCTATTTAAAAAATTGTGCATTTTTGTTATTTTTACTTCATAATAGAATATAGGTATACATCTTATTTGCGTTAACAAAAACGATCTCTTATTATTTATTATAATCATAGTACAATGCTACTATATGTATAACGTTTTAGCTTGCTCTGAATGATAAAAGAAGTCATTTGATGTTTAATAGGGTATCTTCTTTTGAAACAATGAAATGTATAAATATTGATAGAAATACAATGTCTTTATTATTTATGTATAAATCCGTGATTCAAAGATTTATATGCTATTGGACAGTATTATAGTACATTTAAATAATAAATAAAACAATATATATTTGCTCTCAAGTTCTCTTCAGTCCGTAATATTTTTTTTTATCTTGGCAGCAAATTGGAGCCAAGATACTCCATACTAAATCCACAGGGACAATTAATAAGTTTTAAATCTGTCATCAAAATCACCTGACTTTAACATAATAAAACATTTAATAAGTGCATTAAAACAACACAAATATATTTTTCTTTATTTGCCTAACTGTTATTTGATTAATGACATACGTTAAAAAATGATACTCCTATTTAAAAAATTGTGCATTCTTGTTATTTTTACTTCATAATAGAATATAGGTATACATCTTATTTGCGTTAACAAAAACGATCTCTTATTATTTATTATAATCATAGTACAATGCTACTATATGTATAACGTTTTAGCTTGCTCTGAATGATAAAAGAAGTCATTTGATGTTTAATAGGGTATCTTCTTTTGAAACAATAAAATGTATAAATAATGATAGAAATACAATGTCTTTATTATTTATGTATAAATCCGTGATTCAAAGATTTATATGCTATTGGACAGTATTATAGTACATTTAAATAATAAATAAAACAATATATATTTGCTCTCAAGTTCTCTTCAGTCCGTAATATTTTTTTTTATCTTGGCAGCAAATTGGAGCCAAGATATATTTTTTAATAATGACTTTAAAGGAAACGGAACGATATGAAAGAGTTATATTGTATATATCATTATTAAAATAAACAATTTTAAAATTGAGATAGTATTAACAGTAGGATATTCAACATCTGATATATTACATTGTTATTTTCATACAATTAATATATTACCATTAATTAACAATAATAAAAGCAATTTATTTATAAACATAATTCTTTAACTTTAGGAAGCAGCATCAATAATCCAGTTGGTGTAAGGAGAAACAGCAGTGCTAACGCCAGGGAAAGTTCCGTTGGCACATCCGTGGCCCCAGGAGACAACTCCAATGATGATGTTCCCGTAGTATAAAGGTCCTCCAGAGTCACCTTGACAGGCATCACGCCCTCCAACGTCGAGGATACCGGCACAAATCATGTTGGGGGTGACCAGAGCAGGGGTGGGTAGAGACTGGTAGCGTTCACGGCAAAGATCGTTGTTGATGGTGAAAATTGTGACATCTCGTAACTGGTTCGATACACTGCCACCTTGCTGTAAAATATAAGTAATTCAGCTGAGTAATTGACGGTTTCGATGGTATGCCGCTTTATTTACAATGGTCGCGGGTTCATTTACTTGCACCGTGCAAACATTTGCATTCATGAGTACAATTGCTTGTATCGGTCTGGGTGATTTCTATGTATTATACCAAAGAAAAACTTAAGTATATCTATCATTTGTCTAGTACCCATAATAAACGGCTTGCTTCGTTTGGGACTAGATGGCGCTGTGTGAAATATCCGGGATATTATTGTAATTAAACAACAAATTTAACTTATAAATGACAAGACTATTATCAACTAAAATTATGCCATCACGTACCCGGCCCAAAGGTTTCCATATCATTGATATCATTCATTTTATATTTGACGCGGTCACATTTATACGTGAAATTAGGAAAAATCACGTTGATTATGTTGATAAGTATACGTGAAGATACTGTAAGTATAGTTTACTGGGATGAGTATCGAGCGAGTTTCAATAGTAGCAACAAACGAAGACGTGTGAAGGTGGACGAATTTGTCTGTCCATAATTTTATTTATTCTACAGTTTATACGTGATCATGGCAATTGAAACACTACCAAAATATCGGCAATTCAATAAAAATAAATAAAACGTGGTAAGATCCAGTGATTTTTACTATGTTTTACTTTTAGTTTTTTATCACCTTGCGTACTTCAACTATCAAATTATCCATTCAAATCTCCATCATAATTATCTTTGCAGATATAATAAAAATAGTCAAATGTAGACAGTTATAAAAGGAATGACGAAATATTCTCTATGTATTAATACGCTTTATCAGATAAGAGAAACAAACACACGCAGCGGCGCCTGTCCTGCACTAAACCGCTGAAAATACCTATAATTATAGCTTCATCTTCGTCTGCGGGCTTTTCGAAAGATCAATCCATACCTACCAATATTTTTGTTCTGACATACGGCTTCGGCGATATAGCGGTTTAGCACAACTTCTTAATTTCGCGGATTCAATTTTTCGATGATACAAAATATTCGTATTCATCAATAGGATTGTTTGTATTTATAGATCTACGTGCTTTCTATGTATATCATGTATATCTATCAGATTTCGAGCACCCATAACACAAACTTTGCTTGTGACTAGATGGTGCTATGTGAATTGTTCAACAAAGAAACAAACTAACGCAAAGACAAAAATTCTACAAACTCATTCGTTTCACTGCGATAACAAATCTAAGTACAACGTGAACAATATTTTTTTTATACAAAGACGGTGGTAAGTATATGGCCTATGTGATGGTAAACGGTTACCGTAATCTATAAACGACTAAAACACCAAGGCTATCACGTGTGCATTGCAGACTCTATACCCTTCTAGAAAAATCCCATGAAGTCTCTCGAGAAAATCTCGAAGTTTTTTTATATTTACTGTATTGATTGTGCACGACTCATTTACAATTTTACTAGGTATATGTATGCTTTGGTAGGTATTATATGAAACTTACAGCTGTTGCACCCCAACCGGCATGGATGACAGGCTGATCATCAGGGATCACTGCATCCTGGGCGACAATAACACCCTGCTGTACTACAGGACTGAAGACCAGGGGTTCCGCCAACCTCACCACGGTGATGTCGCCATCGAACCCAAGGGCACCATAACTGGGATGATTGTGCTCCTGGGCGACGTTGGATACGATTCCGCCAGTATTACGGAAGGTAGCGCCAGCTCTGACGCGACGGTGTGTTGGTGAATATTGGCTGCAAATATATTTTTATGTAATTGGAATGGCACAGAAGTTTACGGTATATGTGGGAAAGAGAAAAATTATGTCGTCTCTAGCGCAAACTGCTGGCGTCATGCGGGCATTAAGCGGTGAATAGCGACTTAAAACTGTTGTCTGTGAGCAAGTAATTAGGAAGACAAATACTACTACTACTATTACTATACTACGTCATATGGGATAGGAAGCAGCAACCGTGGATTTTAGCAATCACCAGTACTACTGACGAATTTAATTTATTATTGTATGGTGCTTCTCATGTGTGTATGGGGGGATAGTAGTAACGAGAACTAGTAACCCATTGCTGGCAATGTAGTGTATCAGGTCCATGCAACCCCGTCATTCATTACCTGAGCGAACAATATATTGGAAAATGATTGGATCGTGCTCATTTTAGCATTCTCCAATACATCGTTCCCACAGGCGAGTGCACCTTTCTATTAGTATCCATTCAAAGTCTCCTCATGTAACATTATTACTAATTACTGAGGTTTTATTTTAGGTAACATAAATACTAATAACACCCATAAAATTAATAATTCGTTTTTACGGGTATCGTCCTGCTTCTTAAATATTGTCACAAATACTGAAATTTCCAAATTTATTAATGAAAAAGTGGAATGAAATAAATGTAGAATGTTTACTAACGATCCAGCAAAACAGTGGGCAGCTGACAGCACATTCAAAGAATTGAGGATGTTACACGCGCAGGACTGGGACCAGGCACCTGAGATGATACCGAGGAATTCCACTTGAGCTATCGAGGTGTACTCCTCGATGGTTGTGAGTTCACCGCCAACGATCCGGTTCAGTCGTGCCTGACATGCTGTACCTGAAATCGGAAACATCACAAACTGAGTCTCGGTTGTGAATACTATGAAAGAGTATGATAATAGAAAAACCCATACACGATAATCATTTAAGGAATATGTAATGTGTTTTTGATGACTCTAATACAAAGAAGAAGAAAGAAAGGAAACGGAGAAATCTAGTTGACAAGTATTAAAGCATCTCAAGAAGATTTTAGATTTATAATATCGCATATCTAATACAAAACTGGATACTTTTTTAAATTTAGACTTTCAATATAAATCCTCTCTCAGAATTTTCCAGTTTCTTATCAATATTAACTATATGTATGATATCAGCGAAAAATAACAGTACTTATATGAAAGTTTCAAAAGAAGTATGTTTTGTCTGTAATACCTAAATACAAAATATAAAGAATATAGTATATATTATGTTATTATCGACGAAGAAACATAGATTATGTTTCTTCTTAAAACACCTTTTTGACGGTATCAATGCCGTATCTTTTCGTCAATACCATTTCAAGTATTGCATTCCCTACCACACTGACAGGTTTTTTTTAAATGGATGATAATGGAATAGTGCACCCGCTTGCGCTAACGGTTTACGCTGGCGGGGCAGCTGTGAAGGACGATGAGAGTTAGCCCATCGTGACAAATTTACCAGGAATTTATAACGATCGCTTCCAGATGGAATAGAATAGAATAGAATAGAAAATCATTTATTCAAATAAACTTACATTAAAGCACTTTTGAATAGCCATTACATTTTTTTAATCTACCGCTCATTCGGAAAGCTGTCTCATCACAAGAAGAACGAGCAAGAAACTTGCGTGTTGCTCTTTTAAATAATTTTATTATTACTTTACATTTTTAAATTTTAGAGTGTGAATACAAACCACCAATTAACACTAATTCAATTAAATACTCAGATAGAAAAAATATTGAATGTATAACCAACTATATCGAACTACATAGAATCGCGTGAAGGTCAACCTAACTTGGATATTCCTAGTTATGGGGTTAATAGTCCAATGTGGACTTGAATTAACAATAATCTGGGATAACATCCATAAAGGTATGTGTTGATGGTACCCCTTTCTTTTTAAGATGAAGGTCAATTTCAACCTACCTGCAAACAGCACTAGAATCAAGGTTAGAAGTTGCGCCATTCTGTCAAACACCAACACCAAACTGGATTATTACCCGGATATTATCAGCTATATAGTGACATAATTTCTTATCAATTTATTATAATGGCTTACAGATCATATTTATTGTTTCTGGTAGCGTAAAAACCGATGTAATAACAACCATGAAGTTATATGTTTATAGTTCGAATTCCGTACATATTTGTTATGTTATTTTATTAAATAAGTCGCTTAAATCAGCTTGAGGTCTTGAATTTAAATTGTTTTTTGGGTCTTAAGACTTAATGAATGGCAATCAAGCGGATGACACACATGATTGTAAGCAAGATTCGTCCACATACGTGAACAGCATCACGGATGTCATATCTTCATGCCCACGAAATCCCTCATCCGTTGCTATTCCGGCGAACTAAGATATTACGCCTCTGATCCTGATTTTCAGTGCAATATCACACGCTCTCATCAAAAATAATAGGACGTATCAGTTTTACCAATCTAGTCTATATTAATTACAAAATAAATGTTTTGAAAATTCTGTTTTTGACACTGTACTACTGAACGCCAAAAATATTATTGATAAATACAAATCTCAATGAAATCTAAAAAGCTTCTGTTTTAGGATTCAATCAACAATTTCTATATATTTATTCAATTACAATCGTTAGGGATGTGCAAAAATAATCGATTATAATAAAAAAAATCGATTAAGTTTTCAATAATGAAACCCATTTCTTTCTTATTGATTTTTATACTCCTAAAAATCGACAAGTTAATTATTGTTTATCTCATTCCTAATTCTTCACAGTGGTCTAAAAAGAGAGTAAGTGGTGACCTAAATAAAACACAGATGAATGACTCACAGGTCAAGTATCCTAAAAATCTATTTTTTAATCGATTATTACAGTAATAAACATAATCGATGAATTCTAAAGAAAAAACGTGAGTAATATCAAATGTATCTGATAATAAAATGATACTAAAGAGTACTACTTGCTCAGTAACCCAAGTAAGTAAGTATATTAACAATGTTGACGACCTCGGTAGTCTAGCAGTTTAGCACACCGCTTTACGTCCGATGGTCGCGGGTTCGATTCCTCGCACGGCACAATCATTTGTATTCATGAGTATGATTGTTTGTATCGGTCTGGGTATTTTCTATGTATAATATGTATGTATTTAAGAAAAAAAATATCTATGTATTTGTATCAGTTGTCTAGTACTCATAAGGTTTAGCTAGCTTAACTTGGGTCTAGACGGCGCTGTGTGAATTGTCCTGAGATTATTATTATTATTATTATAATGTGTACTAGACTCGAAAACCGAGTAATCAAAGAAAAATATTTTAATAGCTAATTCTTTATGATTGATGATAATGACGTGAGGTCGCTCCGTGAAGCCTGTGAAGACACTAGGAGGCTTCTGCGCTTCTAAGAGGAGCTTGGCCGACTACACTAGCAGCCTCCGCTCACCACGAACAAAGACAAAAACGTGATGCTAAATGCGGAAAAAGAGTCCAACATACTCGTACATTACATTAGTTTTTAACAAAACTCCAGCTTATTTAAACAAATATTATGAAAGATTCATTCACATTAGGCCTAAGCCTATAATCCTAAACGGATTTATGACGGTTTATTTATCAGCGATTAATAACATTATCTACATTTGGTGGGCAATAAAAAGATTTTGTGATACAAGATAGCTATCGATGGGTATTTTGCTAGACAGGCACCGAATTTTATCTCACGAAAATCCCTCATAAACCAGTTGCTTCCGGTTTTTAAAGAAAAAGAAAAAGGTCGTCATGATTTTGTATTTAAAAACTTTATATGTAATTGGCTTAATTACTTATAAAGTATTAAAGTTACAGAATCGTATATATTACTTGAGTAAATACTTTTATATATTTAATCGAATTTATAAGTGTTATTCAGATAGTCCATTTCACTACTTAATGGATTTATAATTTGTTTAATTCCGCTACAATTAGCATGTGATGTGTAGGTGTACGACCTTCTCTAATGATGATCAAATTCATTTTTTCATATTTCACTGGGTATATTTTAATCCAAACAAACATTGTAATTCTCATTTTTGTCAATAGATGGCAGTACATGTCATATTAATGTCGATATGCAGTTTTATTGATTTTTCTTTATAAGCGAGTTGGTACTTTGTCCCATTTTATCGAGTACCAAAATTACGACGACTAAGGTTCGAATCTCTAAGCCTAAAGTCGTATCATAGGCGGAAGGCGATTGTTGTAACGTGGACTAATTAAGCCATTGCTAGCAATGCATCAGGTTTATCACATGAGATTGCCCTGGAAACTATCGTTTATTTTTATTATTTTACTAGCAGACCCGGCTACGGGCTGCTGTGGCTAAGGTTCGTGAATAAAATAATATTGCGACTATAAATTGAGATGTAAGCTATCTTATCTTTCAAGTTGGATCAAATTGCATATAATGTGCAAATCAAATTTGCAATCGGTTTCATAGTTTAGGACTCCATCGCGGACAAACAACGTGACACGTAATTTTTGTATATAAAGATAAATTTTATATAAAATAGTATATAAAGACATCAATAACTATTGAGTCTACCTTGAAGAATTTGAGCAAAGTGTTTCAACTCAAAGTTAATGTTTATTAATATTATAAATGCGAAAGTACCTCTGTCTGTCTGTATCTCACTCCGTTGGGCTTTCACGTAAATTTAGCACATAAATAGTCTAGACACTGAGAAAGGGCCTATGCTATTTTTTAATGTGAAGAAAGGGTTATATGTGGTTGAAAGGGATGATGAAAGGTATTATAAAAATTCGTCATTTTTAAACCTCTTACATTTTTAAGTTACATTATTAAATACTAGCCGTGCCCGCAGCTTCGCGCACATGATATTTTTAGCCTATGTGTTATTCTGATGTATAAGTTATATTACTGTAAAGTTTCATCCTTTCAGTACTTTTTGCGTGAAAGAGTAAAAAACCAAAATCCAAATTAACAAATTTTCGCATTTCGATATTTGTTTATAAGTTGCGCGGGCACAGTTAGTTCTTCATAATTTATTCTCCGTCATAACTCCTATTTGTTTAGCATCAAGCAATGCAGTTCCGCTATTGATAAATGACCCCATCCAGACTGTCGCGCCGCGTGGCAGTGCTATTAATACAAGTTGGACTGATTCAGTGTGCACAAATAGATGCGCGTACGCAACGCGTGTCAGTGGACACTTTTAGCCCATTCGGTGACTGATCGCCTAAAAAGGATTTTTGTATACACTCTCAAGAATAAAAGCCAGCGTAATATGGCTGTAAATCACAGGGATGTCGTTTGGATCAGTTAATAGTGTACTCCACTATTGCGTTGCCATTGCCATTCAGGAACAGTATGGTGTAATACCTACGTACTTAACAATTGTACTTTACAACCGAATCACTGCTTGCAAAAGACCAAGTTTTGCAAACTGTGATTCGGTTGGAAGGAGCTTGGAGCATTTTGCAAAAAACACTGGTAAAGTTAGTTTATCTAAGAAAAATTGTAAAAACAGAACTTATAAAAGAATAATTTCGTATTAGAAACTTTCTTCTTTTTTACAGTCGGTTGTAAATCAAGAATGGAGGGAGTGGAGTGTAAGCAGTGGATTTTTTTATCTCACGGCAATCACGCTGTGTCATCTAGGCTGTGTCATAGGCATCTACATTTTATTTTGGAAATATATATATAAAACACCCAGAGCTATACAATCATACGTATGAATAAATGTTTATACCGAATGAGAAATCGAACGCACTCAAGTTTGATTCCTTGAATGCGAGACAATATCCTAAACCACTAGACCACCGACGCTTTCATTGTCACTGCTTGCAAAACCCACCAGTAAAAAAAGTAAAATCAGTTGATGTAGGAGAAAGTTTTGAGACAAAACATAAACAAATACAGTCGAAATAAGAACTTCCTTTTTTTTTAAAGCCGTTTGTAAATCAAGACCAGCGGAGGGGGTAGTATATAAGCAATGACATATATTGTGTTTATTTATACAAGTTACGAAAATGAACGAAATATGAGTTTTATACGAATAGCCTTTCGTATCTATAAAACTAATATTATTTCGTATTCTTCTGTTAATTCCATAACGGATCTATCGTAGAGCTTGCACTGACCACTTTTTGCCTAGTCCTAAATTCCAAGTACATAATTATAGCAGAGTGAATTCTGTGTCGCGCTGATTCGGGTCGGCGATGCTTTATGCGGTCGTGTGATGTGATGTGAATAAACTGTACATGCAACTGATTAATGCTGAGGCTTCAGGTAGAAATAGATGTCGGTTGGCGCCGTGGACACATACCTGAGTTTGAGATATGACACTATTTATTAATATCCATCAACAGTAGCTGTAACATTCTTTTCACTGAGTCTGGGCATTGGTACATTTCTTTTCGACTTTTGTACATCACTATTAACATTACGTTTTCTATGGTCAATAATATTGAGGACTAGCTGCGACTACGTCCGCGTGGAATTTAACTTTATTTTTCTAATAAAAGTAGCCTAAGTTACTCCTTATTACATCAGCTACCTGCCAAAAAAGGTCCCGTTAAAATCGGTTCAGCCATTCAGAGATTAGCCGGAACAAACAGACCGACAGACAGATAGACAAAAATTTTAAAAAGTGATTTTTTGGTGTATGTACCGTATTTATATTCATGCATGCAGTAAAAATGGCTATTTCAATATTACAAACAGACACTCCAATTTTATTTATATGTAATTATCTATATAATATGTGTAATTATAATTTTCTAGCCACCATAACACAAACTGCTTAGGTTAGGACTATATAGATGTGGCTGTGTGATTTGTCCTAAGATCTTATTACAGAAAATTTTTAGCCACTTATACACTTAGATTAAAAAAGTGTTTAATTAAAAAGGTAATTTACGATGTACATTTCAAAGTTATATTATAATAATGTTATATAACATTAATTTCGATGTAATTACGACTCTATATATGATAGTGTTTGTAAAACTAGCATAAGATCTGCGTCCGGCGACATTGTGTGAACTATCCAGAGATATTATTTTGCTGTGTATTTCTTATTACCCTTTGATGGAGACTTGCGTTTTCGGGTAAAAATCACCAAATAATGACAACTATCGAAGAAATGATGAGGATGTCTAAGATTTTATAAATGGAACACAAAATTTGCGGACAATTATCTACAGGAATAGAATAGAAAATCCTTTATTTAAATAAACTTAATTAAATCAATTTTGAATACTTAATACATTTTTTTTATTCTATCGCTCATTCGGGTATCTGTCTCATCACAAGAGGAACGAGTAAGAAACTTATGTGTTGCTCTTTAAATAATCATTGTAACTTTACATTTTTAAGTCAAAACTTGTGAATATAAACTACCAACTAGCACTAATTTGGTGCTTAAGTATTTAGTAGTACAGCTTTTTGAAATAGTATAAGGGAAGAACTTATTCTTATTATTGATCTTATTATTATAAAGTATGAAAATATAACAAAATGTTCAACAAAGTTGCCAGTTCATTGCTCTATAGATATTCCGACCTTCCCATTCCTAATACACAATCAGGTTAGATGTCTGTGTAATAGCATAATTGCAGTTGCTTAGAGTGCTAACATACTGCGCAAGAGTGGGGCACCTTGCGGCGGCGCTTTGATGGCGGGACACAGGCGCGCGCATGCCCTCATATACTACCACCACGTAATAGCAGCAAAAAAATATAATTAAAAATAATAATTCTTGTAATTTTATTTTACATGTGTATAGGTGAAAATAAAACTATAGAAATAGACTTGGAATACGGAGATATATATTAGGAAACTATTGATAAGACAGATTTGTACAATAATACGGAGTGCTAACATACTGCGCAAGAGTGGGGCACCTTGCGGTGGCATAGCGCTTTGATGGCGGGACACCGGCGCGCGCATCATATAATATAAACCACGTAAGCTAAATCAAAAAAATATAATTATAAATTTAATATAAATATAAAAGTATTTTATTAATGCTCTAAAATCAAATTACGTTGTAACTTGAAAAATCATTACTTGAATATTTTTAATGCAAAGTTTAAACTTGTGGCGGCATGTGCATGCATATAAATCTTCCTCTTGAATTTCTCTATGTATTGCTAAAAATGCAGTAAAATCCGTTGCGTAGTTTAAAAAATCTAAGCGAATAAACAGCGGAAGTGACTTCATTTCATATAAAAAATTACAAAATAGTACACGATGGCGATAAGAAATTTTATTTAATCTTGTTGATTTATTTATAATCAAAAATTATGTAAGCGTACAGTCAGTAAAATATAAAAAATATCGTCATATTATATATATGTATACAAATTAAATGGCGACCAAAATGCAGCTGCCGACGCTACACAATACCTATCTATAGTGCACGCATTACAATATAATTGTCGACTGCTTCTATGTAACTACTGTTTAGGAATACTACAGACGGTCAAACAGTTTCTATCAGAGACAATATATTTATATTTTTATGTAGCCGAATGTGGTCAAACAGTTTGAGTCAAAGGCAACATTTTTGTAACTGAATGTGGTCAAACTGTTTTAGTCAAAGACAATATTTATAGTTTGTTTTTTATGTACCCGATTGCCTAATCTTGTATCAGTTTATTAGCTAGCACCAGCAAGTAGTCGCCATACACCCAAAATACAAGTTGCTTGTATGATTGACAAAGACATTAGACAATCAAACGTTCCTATTAAAAATATATCCGTTTGATCGTCTACGACAGCCCTTAACCAATCATACAAGCCACTTTGTAAATTGGGTGTATGGCGACTATGAGGCGCGCCTGCATTTTTAGAAGTACAACGCGCAAAAAGAAACACTATACAAGAAGCTCTGTCAATGATTGTCAACGCTTATAATACTATACTTCCCGATCAGTAATGATTTGCTTTATGATTTACTTACTTGATTACTGACAATAATATAGCTATATATAAGTACCCTAAGTTACTTCCTATAACATTAGCTATCTTCTAATGAAAGTCTCGTCAAAATCCAGCTGTTTCAGTGATTAGAACAAGAACAAAAAAAATGTTTTGATGTTAGTATTGTATTATATACTTTCACTAGCTACTCGCCCCGGCTTCGCCCTAGTGCACATGTATTATACAACCATCCTGTTGAATCACTCTATCTATCGGTATCTGTTGCAAATAACAACCAGGCACTTTATCAGGCATCATTTCATTCAGTTTTAATTGCATTTATGTTTATAGATTGTTATTTACAAAACTTATTTTTTTTTTACTAACATAATACTAAAAAAAAATGTGACAGCGAGCCTTTCAGTATGTTTATAAATACGGTCAAACTGTTAGGGTATTTTCGATTAAATTTAATGTGTGAATATCTGGAACCAAGTCTATTACATTTATGTTTATTATCCTCACCCTAGGAACCTTGAAGAATAGAAATAAAAACTTACTAACTACTTTAAAAAATCTCTATGAAACAATTATTTAAAATATAAAACGATCTGTGGAGAAAAGTTTGAGAACGAAATGAAAATATTGTTTAGATTATTACATCATATAATCTGTGTTTAAACAAACTAACCTTGACTGTCTAGTCAACGTTAGTTTCCTTATTTAGTTTCATATTTGACTTTACAATTTTTACACAGGAATGTTAAAACATTTTCTTATAGTTCAATTGTTTTAAAGTTTTAAAATACTTAATTTATCTTATAAAACTATATGCATACTTCTTATATTAATATTATTAATGAGATAGTAAAAACTATTTTTGATGTTAACCATCAAAAATAGTTTCATTGCATCATTTTTTATGTATACGAAATTAAATGGCAAAAAAGTTAGAAGTTTAATGGAAATTGACAATCGGCGTTTACAAACCTGATTAGAACCTGAAACTTTGGACATCACGTAATCTTTAAGAAATCTCTAGTGCATTGCAATTCTATAGAACTATATGTTATGAATGTATACCTTGATATTGTACTACCATGTCTCACCCTACAACAGGTACAGAAAACTGCATATTCGCGGATGCTAATAAACCAGATGTACCTATGCAAATAACTCTAAACAATATCTATATAAAATTAACATAACAATAAAAATACACACAACAAAATTGTAACAAATGTATATTTACACAAGATAATAATTAAGTAATAAGTATAAAAGTATCATCAAATTTCTTTTATTATCTGTAACATTCATTATTTATCTTAGATTAAATCTATGACGCAGATATTTAGGCAAATATTTTGTCACTTGTCTAAATTATAAAAATACCCTGATGTTATTATAAGAATACTCAAGCTATTACCTATAACTATAAGTACACGATAAAAATATCACTGATATTTAGGAACATCTAAATTATTGTTCGTAAAAAACACAGGCGACTCAGCATTGTAGGGAGTCGTCACATGACCGGAGCGGTGTCCCAAATCTAAATATTTGAACATATTCTGCAGTAACTGTTGCTGTTCCATTAATAGTGTATTTAAATGTCTTATCTCCTGATCTATTTTCTTCAAATTAAACGTCGTCTGATCTATTTTCTCTTGCATTCCTCTCAATTCTATATTCATGTTGTGATCTGCAGTCTGTGATTCATTCTTATATTTTGATGAGTTATATCTATTTTTGTGTAAAACTTCCTTCACAGATCCACAGAATTTTACTTTGTTCAATTGCGCCAGTTCATATGCAGCCATCATTATGTCTGTTGGCAGTCTATTCTCACGGGGGTTCAATGGTTTCACGCTCAATATTACTTTTCCAGCCTCTGGAGACACCAGGGCCGTTCTGTATACGTATTTATGTAAACAATTAGGCAAGAGAGCGCTAAACATTCCCATTTCAACGAACAATATAAGTTTAGTTTGCCTGACTAGCCTAGATAATCCGGCAGTTTTCCTGAGACCTTGGATATCATGAACCGCAATACCGACAAGCAAATTCATCAAGATAATAGTGACAAACATGAGAAAAAGGATAAAAATAATTTGCGATGATATCTCAAAGTGCAGCGGTGGGTCGTCCTGAAGTGGATCGTTAATTAGTATACTTAAGTTCAATTCGCCCACCATCATTGAAACTATAGTAATAAAACCCATTAAAGGATTAGAAAACATTTCCTCATTCGGAAATACTACACAAAAACAGATACTAAAACCTAGCAAGAGACAAATGTAAGCCAAGAGTAATTTTAGAAATTCTGCTAATACCTTTTGGTACATAGCCACATAGTCACCGAACATTGGAAGTTGTCCCATCAACAGCATCAAATTTGTCCAAGCACCAAGCACTGCATATCCACCGACATGATTTTGCCAACTGTAATCGTCATTTATATTGTATAATGAAAATACAGAAAGTAGAACAAACCATTCCATTAAATTCTCAAATGTAGTAAAATACTGAAAAATACTCGAGTAACCAGTTATGCCAGTTAGTTTGCGAACGATCTCAAATGCTGTAATTCCCATAAGCACCCATCTCTCAAATTTAATAGGATTATTATCTAACATAGCTCCAAGTAAAGATTGCTTCTGACAAAGCTCATTCGGTACTCCATACTTCTTTGAATATTTTCCATTACAGGCCTTTACAACTGTTGTTAGAACATAGATAGATAAAAATGATACAAATAGAAAACAAAAAATTAGTCTTGCTAAATAAAACTTTCTTATTTTTCGCCATTTCATGTACAAAAATGCTGAGCACAAAGGATGCTGCAAAATATTCTTTTGACCTTCATCAATTAAAATATTTAAATACGTAATTTCGCGAGGATATGAAAACTTAAGGAGTTTACCAAAATCAAACTCAATTTGTACTTCCTCATTGGCTTCTGTCTGCGGAGTAATAGAAATACCATTGTCCAAATTATCTCGTAAAATTGATAAAGATTTAGGAGATTTTCGAGCAATTACGCTTAAAGCAGTATGGCCTTTATTTGATTTAGAGGTAACGTCAGCTCCTATAAAAAGTAGAATTTCAACACATTGAGTTACACCATCTATCGCAGCAAGATGTAAAGGAGAATACCCATAAACATCTTTTTTATTTATCTGTGCTCCACAACTAACCAACATATCTATGATATCACAGGCACGCTCCGAATGATTAACAGCAGCATGCAATGGTGTTCTCTTGTCTGAATCTTCAACATTGGGATCAGCATTGCCGTCTCTCAGGAGAGCTTCAATACATTCTACACTAGAACATCTGGCAGCTAAATGGAGTGCAGTAGAGCCCTTGTGATTTAATGTATTTGCTTTTGCGCCTTCAGCTAGTAATAATTCCACACATTCAGAATATCCTCGTGCAGCAGCTAAATGTAAAGCAGTGCATTCCCTGTCTCTTTGTTTAGTTAATCCATTTACATTTATCTTGGTTTCCTTCAATAAATAACTTAAACATCGTTGAGCTCCAAGTTCTGCAGCAATATGTAAAGCATTTTTACCTCCAGAAGTAACATAACTTGGATCTACACCCTTTTCTATAAAAAAATCCATACATTCTACGGCATCAGATCTCACTGCACAGTGAACAAGATTGTCTTCACAGCCTGCTCTCTGAACAACTGCATGTAAAGAGGCGCCATTGGATATTAATATATCGGCAACTTCCACACAATTTCCAAATGCTGCACAGTGTAAAGGAGCAAAGTATTTCGGAGTAAAATTAACATCAGCACCTCGAGATAGTAAATAAAGAACCGCATCTTTTCCAGCTGCGAATGACGTTAAGTGTAAAGCTGCTAAACCAATAGGCTCAGAGAATTGAATTTCAGCACCAGCATCCAAAATAGCCGGCAGCAAGTCGTCACGTGCTAAAAATGCTATCCACAGTAAAGCTAAATTAATGATTGCTTCTGGGGCAGAAGCGATATGTTCTTGTATATTTTCTGTTGTGACCAACCCGCACTCTATATCATCAAATAATCGCCCAGCACCCAATGAAAGCGCCTTTTCACATATTCCTCTTCGGATTGATTCATGTGTAACTCTCGCCTCAGTATCGGGAGGGACGAAATCAAAGCTATGGTATGTATCTGGAGCGTCCTCAGCGGGGGGTGAGGGTCCGACAAATAAATATTCCTTCGCTGCTCCAAGGTCACGGGCGGTTTCCAGTAGGTCAATGTTTCGCACATGCTTGGGTAACGTTACATTTAGTGGGAATTCTTCTGTAGCACGTGAACTCACACTACGTAGATATCGACTCCGAATGGAGGTGCGTGTACTATGGGATGGTGTATCCCAGACTATCTCGCGATATCCAAAGTTGTCCATAGCTCGAATGTGACTGAGAGACTACTCCATCCGACTCTCCGCTATCTTATCTACGGTTTGTTTAACTGAAGCTCGTACAGTAGAGATATTTGCCCGTGAGATGATTTATTATGTTGTTTTTACTCGTAATTATGCTTATAATATTGATACACTGTTGTAATGTAACATAATTTTCTATACATGTGAGAATGATTCACAATATTTTTTCCTTTGTAATTTATTTTATACTTTAAATGTACATTTTTATATTATGTAGAATTTACTTTGAAGTCTGAATTTTATTATACATACGTATTATTGTAAATATAAATAAAAACAAAAAATCGAACCGATGTAAAATCAAATTTCCATAATTGTGTTGTATATAATACGTTATTATATTGTATGTATTTTTTTTATATTACATATCATGAGATCAATATTCATTTGATATTTAGAAGCACAGCAGGAGCATTTCTAAATATATGGTTTAAAATACTGTGTACTCTACTAATCTATTTTATATAATTATAGTAACACTATCTGATATATTATATACATATATAAAATCTAATAACAATAATAACAACACACAGGTCTGTATCAATAATTCACCATACTGGACAGTGGTGCTTTCCAAGTTAAATCTGGCTATAATTGCCACTATTATTGTATAGTCAATATCACTATAATGAAATAAAATGATAAACGCCAAGTACAAAGCAGACTTGCTACTTTTAGCATTAATGGTTTCTGAATTGGTTTTGAAAAACATTAACGTTATCGAACCCACAGTGGGTTCGATTCCTCGGTCAATACAAATATGTATTCATGAGTATGTTTGTTTGTATCGGTCTGCTTTCCTATGTATATTATGTATTTATTGATAAAAAAAATTATAAGTAAAAATCTGCTGAAACTAAAGCCTGATCAGGACGGTATGGGTAAAAAAATATGTAAAAAATAAACATGTATTTGTAGCTAACTAAATTAATTAAAACTTTTGAGTGTGAAAAATCGTTGTTTGCAATATGTTATATTATATCGATACTTATTGCAACAATACAAATAATTTGTTTTTTTACATTATTTATTTGTGTAATAATTGGTTATTAAATATGAAAATGTTTAAATAAATAAACATAAATTATTTTCTAAAGACTAAATGTGTCGCGTATGCTATTTCCATCACTTGACAAAGGATCGAGACTTTTCATTCTTATCTGGAGGGCCGTCAGGGTACGTCAACCTCGATGCGCGTTTGTTTACCTCTAACTATTCCACAGAATAATAACTTAATCAATAGAAACAGATTAAAATCGCAACTACGCTCTATATTTATCGCATTTTGCCTTTATGGAGTTACCAATACGTTAGAAAAGATCGCCTATACTAATAATTGATCAGAAATTTGAAGGCAAGAGCCTTGAAATTCTTATATAACGTTTTGTTTCTTAATTGGCGTTACAATTTACTAATTACAAAAAAACTATGTAAAAGATATATCCATTTTAATATTATAAATGCTAAAGAATGCCTGTCTGTCTTTTTTGATATCTTTCGATGCGTAAACGGCTGAACGAATCTTAATGAAATTTAATATAAACGTAGATTGTATCACAAGGTTTGTTGTAGAGAGCTAGTAAGTAATAGAAGTAGAAGTAGCTGGTATAAGCACCTTTGTAAAAATAATCAGATATTTTTTTATTCTACCCCTCATTCGGAAGGTAGACACATCACAAGAAGAACGCGTAAGAAACGCGTATGTTGCTCTTTTAAATAAATGTTATTAAGCATTACATATTTAGGATTTTGTATGAATACAAACTGCATATAGAATAAATATAAGAAAGAACACCGAAGTAACCAAATTAAGTTTTGAAGTAACTCAACCTTTGAAAATTCGAATAAGCTTTTAGATATGTGATGTTTCCTAAACGAGGTAGAGTTTGTGAAAAGCCGTCTGCTTAGATGCTTCGTAAACCTTTTAGACAAGGCTGTGAAATTAAAGTATAACAATATTGTACATATTTTACTCCTTTAAAATGGCTTATCAGAGGCATCTTATGATAATGTTATGTCCATGGTGCTGTTCCTGTACATAAGTCCAGTTATATAAAAAATATATACTACTAGTGAAAATATGAGAGAACACTAAAATAACTGAATAATGGTTCGAAATTTATAACAACCTTCGAAGCTTCGGTAGGGCACTTGTATGTATGCGATCTCTTCTAACTAATTAGTAACTCCATAAGTGAAAATGTGACAAATATATAGTTGAAAATATGTAGTTGCTATTTTAATTCAGTTTCTATTGCCTTAGTTATTACTCTTTAAATTATTCTATTGATATTCCAAGATACACAGAAAATATTTACACTGTCAGTTGGACAGGATCGTTGTCAGAAACAAAGCTTGGCTCACCGGTATTGCATCAATATTGTCGTACATTTAATAAGACCTTGCTTTGATATGTAAATCTGTCTGGTTGATAGGCCGTTTATCTTGTGTCATAGTATTTTTATATCTTACTATAAATATAACTATATTTTAATGTATTTATTATAATTCTATCTGCGATAGTAACAATAACAATATTTCAGGACAATTCACACGCCATCTAGTCCAAAGCTAAGCAGAGCTTATGTTATGAGTACTGGACAACTGATATTTATATATATTTAAATATATTTTTTTATATTGCTTTTAGAATATTATATAGAACATACCCAGACTAATACAAAACTCGTACTCACGACTAACGTAGGTAGAATAATATTTTAAATAATTTTAGAATGGCTAATTTAATTAAACAATTCAAATATATGTAAGTATATATTGATAGGTATATATTAAGATAAGCGTAATATGCATGCACTAGTAATTTTATAACTAGTAGAAAGACGTTCATACTATACGACTTCCAAATGTTTTAGGAAATAATAAAAATAATGATAGCCGTGGACAATTTACACAACTCCATATAGTCCTAATTTAGCAGAGCCTGTGTTATATGTACTAGTCTACTATTAGAAATGTTAAATATTTCTTTCATATCATTACATAGTATAAAACAAAATCACTGTCGCTGTCCGTCCGTCCCCATGTGTGCCTAAATCTTTAAAACTACACAACGGATTTTGAAGCGGTTTGTTTTAATAGAGTGATTCAAGAGGAAGGACGAGTAGCAAGTTTTATATATATAGAAAACACCCCAACGAATACAAATAATCACTATAATACACTACAATACAAATATATCAGGCCAGGTATTGAACTCAAGACTGTCGAAGTAACACAGTCTGCAAAATCGCTAAGCTACTGAAGTCGTTGAAATTTTAGATTTGTTAGATAGATGTTATTTTTTTACTTGCTTACTGAATAAATAAGGATATCTGTAATTTTACGTCGTTTAATGTAATTTAATTTAATTTTATGTCGTGATCGTCTCGTGTGGTTGAAACGAATAGTTGTGCCTTTACATTGTAGTCTATTGGAAATGAATAATGAAAGAACAGAGTGGTGTAGTCTAATCGATTATTAAATTATTTATTATATGACAACCGATACCGTAGTACAACTAGATGAATAATGTAAGTCGTTTTGCATGGGTACCTGGGTCCCGCCTACCTCAACTGCCAAGCAGAAAGTAAAGTATGTTTTGATTAAAGGGTTCAGATTAGGCAATGAAGGTACAAGAAAAGAGGCATAACATCTTAGTACTCTGGAATGGCAACGCATAAGTGGTATCACGAGTCTTACATAATAACATGATGTTCGTAGTGAGTGAGTGAGTACAAAAAAGGTTTTAAACAGCCTATGTACATGGACAGCATGTACATAGGCTGTTTAAAACCTTTTTTGTATATATATATTTAAAACATTATAAAACAATTTAAACATATGTCAACAGACAACAGTCTTTGATTTTAATCAATAATAATGTATAAATAGATCCGGCAAATACACACATAGGCCACGGTTACCGCTGATCTGACGGTACATCAGACGGCTGGTAAATCCTTTATATTTCCAAATAAAAAAAAAACAACTAGGCAGTTATAAAAAGGTCTTATTTAAGATTTCATCCAAAAGAAAAAGATCACTGGTGTCTAATTAATAATAATGGCTTTATAGCTTTCACAGTGCATCTCTTTCTTTGAATAAAATTTTAAATACGACCTTTTTAGAACTGCCTAAGAATTTTAATACCGTTCATTAGCTCTCAAAGTATTCCACCACATTTTTCTGAAATGCCATCGACGTTTAAGGTAAATAATAATCTAAATAATCTTCACGCTGTCTTCATTTCCGAATCATGTATATAGACGACGGTTACCGCTTACCATCAGGTGGAAGGTCAGTTTGTATGACATTATGTTTATTTAAAAGAGCAACACGCAAGTGTCTTGCTCGTTTTTCACGTGATGAGACAGCTTTCCGAATTGAAAAACTAGAACTATGGATATCATTACCAGTTCTTCTCAATTGAATCTGTATGTCTATGTGAACTGGACGGTAGGGGAAAAATTATAATATAAAAAAACTGACGTTCATAAAATGTCGTACATGAATAAATGATTATCGAATTTGAATTTGAATTCAATGTGTTTAAATTTAAGTTTATTTGAAAAAAATATTTTCTGTTCTATTATATTCTATCCTATTGATAAAACATACTACATATTATTACCTAAGTCATAACGATCTATCTGCGTAAGTATATTCTTAATCTATGTAATCTAACATTTGCAACGCCTACATCAATGTCAAGGTTCATCCGATCTGATAGCGACAGCAATCAGCGACAGTTAATCTGACGTGTGTAGCCGACCGGGGAATCGAACCGACGGCCATGAGGAGACAACATTGTACGAGAAATTAGATATGAATTTATAAAGACAAGGGGTCGGAAAGTAGATTAATCAGCTATAAACGTTAATTAATGCTTTTGATACTAATAATATTGGAAACGTGAAAGTTTGTGATAAAGTTGTTTCAATGGGTATGATAGGTACTTGATCACACAAAAACGAATAGATGCAATTTAATGAAATTTGCAACACATTTGCAATTCCCCTAGTATCGCTTGTACCCATAGGCGGTGCATAACTCTAAGGTAAGGGAAGAAATAGAATAGGAAAACAACAAGTGAAAAATATACCCAAAAAATCCATAAATCGCGTACACTGCTGATTTTTTTTTATACCACGTAGGTAGAAAACAAGCATACGGCCCATCTGATGGTAAACGGTTACCGTAGCCTATGGACGC